ATGGAACAACTGATTGGTTCAAAATTGGGAAAGGAGTACGGCAAGGCTGTATATTGTCCCCCAGCTTGTTTAACTTATATGCAGAATACATCATGTGGAAGGCTGGACTGGAAGAAACCCAAGCCGGAATTAAGATTGCCGGAAGAAATATCAACAACCTCCGATATGCAGATGATACCACTCTGATGGCAGAAAGTGAGGAGGAATTAAAGAACCTTGTAATGAGAGTGAAAGAGGAGAGTGCAAAAAATGGTCTGAAACTCAACATCAAAAAAACTAAGATCATGGCCACTGGTCCCATCACCTCCTGGGAAATAGAAGGGGAAGATATGGAGGCAGTGTCAAATTTTATCTTCCTGGGCTCCATGATTACTTCAGATGGAGACAGCAGCCCTGAAATTAAAAGGCGCCTTCTTCTTGGGAGGAAAGCGATGACAAATCTTGACAGCATCTTGAAAAGCAGAGACATCACCTTGCCAACAAAAGTCCGAATAGTCAAAGCTATGGTTTTTCCTGTCGTGATGTATGGAAGTGAGAGCTGGACCATAAAGAAAGCAGACCGCCGAAGAATTGATGCCTTTGAATTGTGGTGCTGGAGGAGGCTCTTGAGAATCCCCTGGACTGCAATGAGAACAAACCTATCAGTTCTAAAGGAAATCAACCCTGAATGCTCACTTGAAGGACAGATTCTGAAGCTGAGGCTCCAGTACTTTGGCCATCTCATGAGAAGAAAAGAGTCCTTGGAAAAAACCTTGATGTTAGGAAGGTGTGATGGCAAGAGGAGAAGGGGACGACCGAGGATGAGATGGCTGGACAGTGTCTGCGAAGCAACCAACATGAACCTGACACAACTCCGGGAGGCAGTAGAAGACAGGAGGGCCTGGCGTGCTCTGGTCCATGGGGTCACGAAGAGTCGGACACGACTAAACGACTAAACACACACTGACTCGGAAGCCTCCCTCTGGCTCAAAGGGTCCTGCCCGGGTCTCTCTACCTGGCACGGCAAAGGGCAGTCCTTGGGGGCTGGAGAGGTAGCACAGCAGCCCCGTCAAGCAGAGTGGGCAAGCTGCGGACAGGCGGCTGGTGTGGAGGAGGAGGAGGAGGAGGAGGCAGCTGCAGATGCCTGCCAAGCAGCCTGTTCTTGCACCTCCCTCCCTCCCTCCCTCCAGCTCTGTCGGCTGAGGGTGAACAATTTGTCTCTGTGATCTTGATTCTCCCAACAGCTAAACATGATTTGACGGAAAGGATGCTGAAAAAGTTGGCCAGAGAGCCAGAGGCCACCGGCGGGAAGGCCTGGTGCCCGTTCGGTGGACAACCAAGGCTCGCCAGCAGGGGAGGGCATGGCATGAGGGTCGTTCCCCCCACCCACCATCCCCTCTGGCAGCTTTCCTTTTCCCTTTGGTCCTCACGGATTGCCATCTGTCACATATCCTACACAACTGGGAGACAACTGTGTCAGGTCTGTGGTTTATTTACTCTCAGTGGTTCAGGGTGAAGTCTTCTCTATCTGTTAATCATGATTCAAGAGGTGTATAAGCGGGGGAGGGGGCTGGGGGGGTGAAAATCAGGGTCAGCAGGAAGGGGGTGAAAAGAAAGCATGATCTGTGGCCTAGCTGGAAGGAGGGGCTTCTCGCAGTCTAGCTGCCTGTTGGATCATGTCCAAAGCTTCCCAGAAAAAATCCTTCTGGAACGTCATGAGGGGCATGCTGCCGACGGCTTCCTTCATGATGGCCGTGCGCCCTTCCAGCGTCGGGCACTTGTGCAGTTGGCTCAGGTACTCCTCGCATGACCGGGCAGCGAGGGATTCCATGTCACTGGGTGGCACTCCGGCCTTGCTGGCGGGCAGGTCACGGTAGGCGTCGGCCTCCTCAATGTCGTGGCTGGACAGCATATAGAGGCACTCACGGGTGGAGCAGACGCGGCGGACGCACGGTGGGACCTGGAAAAGCAAGAGGAGGCAGGAACTATGTAGCTGGCTGCCAGGGAGCCTCGGGGGGGGGGGGGGGGGGGGGGGGGGGGCACTGCAAGGAAGCAAATTAGATCATCAGTGGTTGCTGCTCTTCCCATTTCACCAACAATGAGTGGGTGGCTGCGGGGGGGCCTGGGGAGGGGGGGGGAATCGGCTGGGGTTAGAAGCAATGGGAACCAACCTCTCACTTGGAAGGGAGAAGAACCAGCCTGGGCGGCCTTGGGTGAGCAGCACGGTCCCAGGGCGCCCCCCCGTCCCCCGAAGAAGGAAAAGAGAAACCACTTCTGAGTTTCAGCCCTCTAGCAAACCCTAGAAAGGTTTGCTCGGTGGGTCAGAATTGACTGGGCAGCACACCTTTATTGGGAGGGCAGCTGCGATGGGCAAAGAATGGGCAGCCTCCCAACGTTCTTGGAAGAGGGTTCCCTGGGAGTGACCGGGCTCCTTCTCATGGGAGGTCCAGAGAGGTTCCCCTTCAGATCCCAGCGGGGTGCCCCTCCTTGGCCACCGCTCCCTCCTGTCCCCACCACCACCACCACCACCACCACAAGGTGCCCCATGCCAACCCCCCGGGCCTGGCTTCTTTGGCCACTTGGGGCCTCCACACACCTTGATCTGCAGGCGAACGAACGAAGCGCTGCCTTTGGGCCATCCGGGGAGGCGCCCCCCAGCTCCACAGCCGCAGCCCATCAGGTCCTTGCTGAAATCCACCACGCTCTGGCTCAGCACCAGGGTGTGGTTGAGGCCACACCAGAGGTCGACAGGACACTTGAGGTAGTGCACCTGTCGGGGGGGAGGGGAGGGGAGGGAGGAAAGGTGACTAAGAAGGCGCCTGGAAGGATGTGGCCCAGGGCATCTCCCCTTCCTCTGCCAGGCACAGTTGAGGAGCCCCGTGAGCTCCCGGTGAAGGGCTGGGGGTGCCCAAAGAGGAACGTCTCCTCCTGCTCTGGCTCTGAGGCAGCCCGCAGGGAGAAGGCTGTCCAAGGAGCAGCTAGGCCGGCCCCTCTCCACAGGGGGTGCAATGGGAGGGGGTGGAGATTGGGGACGGGCAGGTGTGGGTCCACCCTGCTTTGGAGGAGCCCACCTGCGGAAGGTGTGCTGTGAAGGGGCCCCAGAGGGGTGGAAGGCTTCACCTGGGCTGGCTCTCCACGGTCGATCTTGTCACCCGTGCCCAGCTGACCATAGCGGTTGTTCCCTTGCATGAAAATCCGGCCAAATTCATCCATGAGCCCCAGGTGGTTGTAGCCCAGGGCACAGCTGAGCACCTGGCAGAGAAGGAGGCAGAAGGCCTGAGAACGCCTGGCTCATGCATGGGGCCTGGGGGCGGGGGCGGGCAGGCAGGCAGGCAGGCAGGAGGCGAAAACCATCTGCCAAGAAGCCTGAGAGGAGACAGGTGACCCAAGGTGGGACACCTGCGGAGGCAGCTCTGAAGCCTGCCTTCACTGCCAGGCCTGACGCCTGAAAACACACAACTGGCTGGAAAGGAGGACGCTTCTTAGCACCTGCTGAAGGCATTTCCCTCTCTAACCGAGCAGCTACAATCAGAAATACAGAAAGGTTTTAATATATTTAAAAAGAAATTATTTTGAATTTAGTAATAAGAATTCTAAATTATTAGCTAAAGTGTCTTCTATAAAAAAAGAATAAAAGAAATATAGGTGTAATACAGGCTATGTAGGGGAAAAGATGTAATAAAACAAAGGAGAAGCTTGAAGCTTTTCAAATGTTTTATAAAACTTTATATAGTAGTAAAAATCCTCCCACAATAAAAATTGAAGAGTATATTAAAAATAACTTTAATAAGAAAATTTCAGACGATGATAAAAATGCGATGGAGCAGATGATTACGGATAAGGAAATAGAGGAAATTATAAATAAATTAAAAGTAGGAAAGTCACCTGGAACATAC